ATCTTATAATAGTTTAGTTTTATAGTTATTTGGTTTTAACCAGTAGTTTAATAGTCTAAGACTGAACTATTAACATCTCTAAGTGCAACAACCACTTGAGAATTATTTAATCGTGGCTCAAGACTGTACATACAGCTTATTGACCACTTGATCTGGAATTAAGGCTCCTTGAATATAGGATTAAAAGCCCCCCCTTTATTGTTTGACATAGGAAAATTCAATTTTTTTAATGGAAAAGTATCGTAAAAGACTTTGCCCCACATAAATTAAGTATTAATGCATCAATTATTCAACAATTTTATTATTTAATATTCAACTTTACTAACAAACTATCCTCTTTTTGCTATCGGTGTCTTACACTAATTACCTATCTCATGCACAATTGCTATCTGTTTGTTTATATTAGTAATTACTCTATAGTTAGAAGCTTATTACTCATGCTATGCAATAGCGAACCATATTCCCATATGTGTATTCCCTAAAACATGTTTTATAATAAATAGATCGAGCAATAATAATATAAATTTCCAAATTGGTGATTAAATTTAAATTTTTCTATTGGACAGACAGATCAAAAATCAAAACAACATAATTTCCAAATTGGTAAAGAACGAGTTTTTTCTATTGGTCAGATAAATAAAATCAAATCAAAAAAACAAATTGGTTAAGAAAATCGGGATATTCAAATGACTGATAAGGATTTGATATCAGAAGTGGATATTACACATGATAAAGCTTTTGGAATTTTGGGAAAATTACTGTTTCTAAAATGTTTACAAGTTCTTTGAAGCTTCTAGACAATATTTAAGCAAACCAAGAAACATTAGAGCGAGTGGATTCGCTTTTTTAACAGTGGTCGATATTTTAACAATGGGTAATTACGACTTACTAGTGAGTATTTTTATAATTTGTTGGCTTATAATTTAATTGATGAGTATTCTGAAAATAGTTTTTTTTTGAATATTGTATATACTAGAATACTCGATTACTCGATTACCTTAGCACATTGATTAAAGATCAATGTGCTAAGGTAATTGAGTATTCAAATATTCTAATATTTGCAATATAGTATTTACCAAAAATGTTTCTATTTGCCATGCCTACGTATTAATTAAAAAGTCCACTATATTTTTTTCAATTAATACAATTTACACCAAGGATAATATATATTACCAAGGGAACTGACACTTATTAACCCTCAGAATCAGTCATTTGACACAATTACAAATTCTAAAATAATCATTTTTCAATTGCAAGCTTTTAGATAACTAATTGAATAAAGTTTATAATATGATTACTTTAGAACTTATAATTGTCAAGTGGCCAACTCTGGAAAGGATTATATTTACGTAATCTGTAAATATCAGTTCTTCTAGACAATTATCCACAAATGGACGAGAAAAAATGATCCATTGATTATACTGTTTTTTTTTTTTTTAACATTTCAAAATTGTATTTAACTATTACTGTAGATAACAATAAAATTTAGAATTAGCGTATCCAGAATTTAGGGATACATAAATCTGCTCGCTATAAAAAAATTTATTTTTTTGTATTGTCTCAGTAAGGTAAAAACCAAATACAATTCAAAAAATTTTTATATCAAACAGATTTATGCATCTCAGAATTCTGGACACCTAAAATCTACAGTAATTGTTCATACTTTTTTGACTTTTTCGCATTTTTGTTCGCGGTGATTGTTTAATTGATGCTAATTGTTTGATGTTTTAAAGTAATCAAAAAAATTCATACATGTTTTTTGTTCTTGTCTAAAATATATAAATACAGTTCAAATACTTTGGATTCTTTTTCACTTTGAGAAACCTCATTTTAGCAGCATGATTAAGTATCCATTTGATTGGCTGATCACATAAAATTTTTTTATAATACTCAAATAAAAAAAAGTCCAACTTCGCTTATATGCAAACTAGATTACACTGTATATTAACCACTCACAAAACTTTATAGGCACTTTGGTAGTTCGTTCATTTACTTACCTTCAAATTTAATCTGATATAATCGGATTCAATAAAAAGTTTTAATATGTCATTGCTTTTAAAAAAAAATTTAACTTTTAATGTTCAACTAAATTCTACTTGTTATTTGAAACTAGGAAACCAAACATATTTTCGACCTTTTCGTTTTATACTTAACAGAAAACAATTGGATCAACCTGACCAGCACCATGCCTTAGTTGAATACTCAAGACCTGTATAATTTTACTGTGATCACTAGCATTATTTTTGGACTTACCAGATCTTTCTTTTAATTTAAAATAAGTAATATCTTTCGCTTTTTATATTTACCAACTATTAATTTCACTAATTCTATTAAGCAAATCTAATTCTAGAGCTTCCTGTCTGTTTAATTGATCAATTTCCATCTCTTCTGGATCTTCTTCTTTCTCAGCATCTTGCTTGTTATCATCTAAATTATTATCCTTATTTTTTCTGAATTTAAGCCATTTAAAAATGCATTAACATTTTTCCATATACCATCTTTATAGTAATTTAAACAATGTCTACATTTTCCTTCCATTATATTGTAGTATTCTAGGTGAAATCCGTGCCTACATATTAAAATAATTGCTTGATCATTTATAATTAATGTTTTATAACAATGATCACAATTATTAAATAAGGGGGGGAACCATGTACTATATCCAGTCGGCATACTTTTGATGTCTATTTCACTTAGAGTGGGAAGATTATAGACAGTAGGTAATTCTTTTTTTTTTCGTCGCTTTTGTGGAGATGGAATTTGATTGCTAATTAAGATGGTTTTTTCATTTTTTTTATAAATTTTTTCAAATTGTGAAAGAAGAAAGATACTAGTTTTAGTGGTTAAAAATTTTAGGTCCCGTGGTGAATATGGATACCGTTTTGTTGTTGAAAACATCTTGTGAAATGCAAAATATTTGTGAAAATCTAAAAGATAAGCCTGTTTTTTTATATTGTTAGCATTATCCTTTGGCGATGTTGTAGCCCGTATTCTACTATGCAAGTTCTCTACTCAGTAATCATTGAACTGAACTAAATTTTTTTTAATGGCTTCTCTTATTGGATGTTGGATCTTTTCCCAATAGAATAGATCCGATAAGAATGCTAATGGGGCTTTGTTATAATTTTTACGATGCTATCGTAAGGCAAAGATCCATATATGAAAAATTGTCTCTACATAATTATCAAATGATCCGGATCAAAATAGCAAGCCATATATATCGAGAGAAGCTGGTATGATATTATCTAATAGCTCTATAATAACCTGATACTCGATATTTTTTTGTAGAAAGATAAACTTTCTTACAATATGCTCTTTAATTTCGATCCATGCAGTAAATACTAACTCAAGTAGAAGGTTGGTTCTCCATGGTCTAGGCTTTTTGGCCAAAACTTTTCATTCTCCAAATACAAAATAAAAGAGCTTTTCAAAAAATGGGTAATAAATTTTCATTACCTGCTCTTTCGTATTAAGAGCAACATGCAAGAGCTCGAGTAAAGGAACAAATGATATTATTTCTTTTGGTATTGAATTTTTATTTTTTTTTTATGAAAATGAGTAAGCACTTGATGAATATAACATTGACCTGGCCAGTCCGCGACAATTGGTGCTACATTACTATTAAGATGACCGACCTATTTCTTTATTATAATCTAAGATAATATTTAGTGCATTTAGGTAATCTTGCATGGAATGTAGCTGTTGTTCCTACTATTAACATCGCCCCTTTCATTTTTCGCTCTTCTTTTCGCTCTTCAATAGCATTATCATAAAAATGTATTGAAAGCTGATCAATCCTATCAAAGGTAGGGAATGACGAACTATTCTATTGAGCCATCCGTTGCGAATATGACAAATCGAAGCAATATTGATATTGATCAATAAGCTTTTTACAAATAAGAGAAGCATCAATATTATCGGGATTGTGAACAGATTTATTATTAAATATAATTGGCACAGGATCTGATTTCTCAACTTTTTTGAAAATATATGTCGCTAGATGAATTGCACCTGAAAGAGATGTGTTATCCGGATGTCGATTTTCATGGATGTTATGATAATCATCCAGGTTGTATATGCAAAGATGATTTTTATTTTCATTAAAATATTTTTTTACCCTTATAGGATATTCGTCAGCTATTTTTTTTTTATAGCTATATACGGTTTGATAGGCAGCCGTAATACCAGCATTGCTTAATGTATTAATTGCATTACAAGTTACTCCAGACCCTAGAAGATACAAAGCAAGCTCTAATTTAAAATTGTTAACATGTTTATTACATATTTCTGCCATTAAGTATAAGATTACAACAACTTTTTTCTTATCTTTATTTTTATTATAAGGCGAGCGATTCTCTGGTATTAATATGGCGCACACATCAGCAAAAAAAATTTTCAAGTTAGGGTCAGCTTCCTCAAGCATCTTATCGAATTCATTCGGGTCAAGTATTATATTATCATTTCTTTTTGTATACAATAATACACTTGTCATTTTTTTAATCTGATTACCGAGTGATAATTTAACCGGTAATGTTGGAATAAACATTTCTTTATAAGATTCAAATAATTGATTTTCAACAATAGCCGTATAATGAGGACTGCAAATTTGGTAACCAAGTTGCAAATAAGGATACAGCTGAAGATTTCCTTTAATAGATGCTTTTCTTATAGCCAAGTTAGTTAGGCATCAGAAATCTTTAGAGCTTTTGTCACAGTTGTAAATAGAACAGGGACTATGGTTAATTTTATTCTTTGGCATTTTATCACAAAAGTTTTTAAAAATTATAATATTTAACAATTAACACGTTTATTATGTGACTTTAAATATACATATTTATTTGATGCTTCGTTCATTAGACTGAGGAACGTTATGCAGCAGTTTAAATAACGCTGCGTATCAGTTTAGTGGTCTATCGTTCGATTCGTCTAAAAATTCAAAAAACACTATGCAGCAGTTTAGTTGAGCTCAAAGAACATTGTGCAGTAGTTTATTAATAAATTGCTGAGAAAATTATATAAATAAATTAATAGAAATCATAGTTCACATATATTATTCTTACTATGTGAACTTTCACTAAAATCGCTTAATGAAAGTCAAATAATAAAAACCACTACATTCTTGACTTCCATGCTACTTACTATTGCTTTTTCTGGGGTAAAAATTTGGCTTTCACATATAATGTCATCACTATGTCAAAATCTAAAATCGCTACCATATCTATGAAAAATTCTTCATTTAGCATGTGTTGTATCACACACTAAACAACACGAAAATCGTCTTGAAAGATTAAGGATACAAAATACAGACTCTAAAAAGAACTTACTTGACAAGCCAAATATCTAGAATTTAGTAATAATTGACAATATCGACTTTAAAGCTTCCACATTCTTCTATAGAAATATTTTTGATATTACATGACAAACTTCACATGTGACATTACGAATAGTGTTTCAATTTTCTCTTCCTACCTCATATGAATATCTAACCAGAGACTACAATTTCACTGACCAGCCACTGTTTGGAGAGTCTTTGACCACTGAAGTCTTTTGATGTTATATAAGTCAACTTTAAATATATTGTTAGAGACTCGTATAAATAAATTTGAGATAGAAGATGTGTTCTCTG